GCTCCCCTTGCTGGCTCAGCTCAGGGTTCCTCTGCCAGAGCAGAGCTGATCTAGCCATGGCAGCCCCTTTGGCTCAGCGGGTGAGACCCTGCCTGGGCGTTCCTGGCTGGCTCTCCTGACCAGGGGGGTGAGGCCATGCCCTGCAGGGTGGCTGGTAGGTGGTTCTCCTTTCCAAGGAGGGGCCCTGCCCGCTTCTGGGTGGGAGGCTGCCTCACACAGACTCTCCCAAGAGGCTGTCAGGATCTCTGAAGGCAGAGGCGGGGGGAGGTTCACCCACCCTGCTGGAGACCCCCACGCTTTGATTCTGATGAGGGGCTGTGGGGAGGTGGGGCATGGCTGGGCACCGCTGGCAACCTCTGGGAGTTGTATTTGGGAGGGCTCAGCTCTTTCCATCCTGGGGAGGGAGAAGATACATTCTGGGGCCCCAACCTATCAGCTTGCTTGTTGTGGGTCTCCAAAAGCGCAGGGCAAGCTTCACTGCGTTTTCCTCAGAGGGCAACTGGTGATGCCCGTGAGGTTGCAGCCTCTGGGCCCAAGGGTCTTCCAGTGGGGTTCTCGGCCAGGGAGAAGGGCAGGGGGGGGTCTTCTGAGGTGGCTTCTCTAAGGCATCTTTCGGCCTGTCTTCCAGACATTCAGGAATGCTACGAGCTGAACTTGCTCTCTGCTTGCCAGCAAGATGGATCTGCTGATCTGGAGCCTGGGGGCCCCTCCAAGACCCAGGAAGATGTCAGCCCGGGGGGTCAAGAGGGCCAGGCACTGCAGGTGAGACCCGTGTGCCACCTGAACGAGGGGCTTTCCATGCTCTCCCTCTTGCCAGTTTTCATTGTGCGCATTTTACAGCTCACTGACACCTACTTTGCTTTGTGCCAGTGGTGTGGAACGGCTTTTTGCCCCACACTCCCGCCCAAGCCATTTCTCCCCAAGCCCCAAATCTACCTTTGCTCTGGTGACGTGACTCCTTGCCCTTCTCTCTCGGTTGCTGAGCTGGACAGAAAGATGTTTGAGAAGAATGCCGTGGGTGTCCACGGGGAGGTTTAGGACGGGACTCCAGGAGTCTTTATTGTCTTTATGGCTTTCCCCAGCCAGTTTTGGATCCCCCTGCTACCTCTGGGGGGATTCAAGTCCCTGCCCTGATTCGAGGCTGCCCTGGCCCCAGACTGGCCCAGGCAAGGGTGGGGGGAGGCTGGCCCTCGGCGTTGGCCTTAGAATGGCTCCTCCCCACCCCGCCACCCCCTTCTCTCCTCCCTCCTGCCTCCACCGTCCTTCCTTAGTAATGACCTCCTTGCGTTCTCAGGTTTCTTTCAAAATTTCAAGGCAGGGAACAGACACCTCCCGGCCGATTGCGAGGGTGCATGCCCCTGTGTGGAAGCCTGCTTCTCCTTCACCCCAGCCTTGAGGCCTTCTTAATGAGCTCCGTTTTAACTGGCCAAGGCTGAGAAATTAGTATCAGTGATTTTCAGTGCTTATCTTTTAAAAGAGGAAAGAACAAATATTTCATCCTCATGGCAACAGCAGAGCTTAGATGGAATTGGCAGGTGGATGCTTGTAGCCCGGTCAACAGCTTAGGAGCCCAGAGGTGCAGTTTTGAGAGAAGGTGGCTCCAGGAGGAAGGATTAGTAAATGTGCGGCTCTCTGGCACTGCTAATCAGTGTAGGTCTTAGACAAACGTGCATACAATCTTCCGGGTGTTTTAAAACCATCTGAGCCGCCACCATGCTGGTAGGGAAGCTGCAGACGGGATTGGCAGAAAGTGGGTTCTGCTCCCCTTGTGCCTCTTCAGGAGCCTGGCAGGGGTTCTGCGGATGCAGCCAAGAAGTTGCGTGGAGGCTCACCTGGGGGGTACGTAGTCCCGGGTAGAGCTCCCAGGAGTCAGGCCCTTTGCAGCTCGGTCCGGAAGCTGTTCTCTTGCTCCTGAAGAGTTCGACGTCCCCAGATCCAGGCCAACAGCTGGCAAGGTCCTCTTGCGTGTTCCTTTTCAAAACAGAAGCCCTTCTTTCTCTGTAGCTTCTGCTCCGATCCCCATGGTTTCACCAGGCTGCTTTTTCAATATTCCAGGGAAGAGCAACGGGGGGCCAAGATCCAAAGCCACGGTTGGTGAGAGTGACTGAGAGCAGGACTGAGCTGCCCGCACGAGTCTGCGGCCTGGCCGTGGGGGTCAGCAGCACCTTGCCCAAGGTGAGGGTCTTGACGCTGCAGAGAAGCAGCTGGGGGCAAAGCCAAGGGAAGGGAGCAGCTGCTCTGCAGGAGAAGGTCTCAGGTTCGCCTCCTGTGAATTTATGAGGTCCAGGGGATGAGAACGAGGCTGTGCAAGGGTTCAGTCTGATTCAGAAAGGAGGGGGCAGAAGAGTTGCAAAGGGGGGGGATCTAATTTCTTCCTTCTCTCTGGAGTTCACTTGTGCTTAAGACCTCCTGGAGCAGCCTGCTTTTCTCCTACGTGGAGGCTTTCCCCCTTAAGCCAGCAGGGTCCCCACTCTAGATAAAAACGAGGCTCTGAAAGTTAGAAGAACAAAGCAGTCTCACAGCTAAAAGCGGTGCCCGCTATTTTTCTTGCAGCAATAGGTTCCGCGCGTCACCCATACTCCCGTAATCTTTTGTCAAGCCTCACCCTGGGGGTCAGCGATAAGTCAAGATTCGGGGGGGTGGACGAGGACGCACCTGCATCCGCCTGAGTTCAGCCCTGTGCCCCGACGAAGGCCGGTTCTGCCCCCTGTTCAGGGCTTCCCCTGTTTGATCGCAGGGAGGGCCCGCAGTTCGGCACTGCTAAAAGGTCAGCTGTCATCCGGGACCGTCCGGTAGCTTCCCGAGCATGGAAGGGGGACTGGCCAGGCAGCCGGGGCCGTGCCGTGCCGTGCCGTGCCGTGGCTTCCTTGCAGCGGAGGGGAGAGCCGGTTGGGCCACGAGCGAAGCCCGTTTCACGTGGGCTCCTTTCCCCTCCTGACATCTTCCTGCTGCTGCCTAGCAACCCGGCTGCCGTCTGCATCGAGCCAGGAGACAGGCTGGCTGCAGGAATGGCGGAAGAGACCTTTCAGGGGGATTGGGGGCCCGGGAGTCCCACGTGGGCTCCCCGGGAGCCCCATCCTGTCCATGCGGGTCCGGTGCCCGGCGGCTCTCTCTGGGTTATTCAAGGCGGCAGCAGCGGCAGCAGCAGCGGAGGCAGGCTGCCGGCTCTGCGCTGGGGCAGGCCGAGGTAGCAGTAGGAAGCACGCCCTGTGCCCCAGGAAGACGTGGAGCCCTTCTTGGTGCAGGCGGGGGAGAGGGGGCAGAGGAGGGCCTCCTGACTTCTCCCCTGCTTCGCCTCACGCTCTGGGGTTGGGCCACCCTTTCCCGGCCTCAGGACATGGCTGCCCTCCTCCGCCATGAAATGCCCCCCTGCTGCGGTTTGGGACACGCAGCGCAGGCAACGTGCCCTGCCGCCATCGGAGCGCCCGTGGGGTGCAGGACCATCGAGGGCTGGGCTGGGGCAGTTCCTAGCTGCGGGGTCTCTGAGCACTGGCGCAGGCTGGCCCACATCTTACACGAGGAAACCCGCCGAACAGGCCAAAAGTATGCTGTGGTTTGGATTTAGTTCTCGTGCTTCCTGCTCTCTCCCTGCCCACAATTTGGGGTAGATTTTTAGATTAAAATCCTGTAGTTCCTATCTGATTTTCAGCTGCCTGTCGCAAGTGGAGTCTGCAATTTCCCTGCTGACGTGTTCTTTTGCCCTCAAGGTGGTACCGCTGGAGGACCCCTTTTCCCCTTGGATAAGCCGTTTGCGTGTTTGGCCTTCTGTTCTTCTACCCATGCTGAGCGACTGTGGGGGCACAAACCCTCGCCAGCTTTATGCCACTACAGCAAGATGGCTGCATTACTGTCCAGGCGAAGGAGGTCGGTTTCTTTTGGCCGCTGCAGTTTGGCGGGAGCCAAATATTCCTCCCTGGCCAGGCCTCCAGCCCATGGGAAGAGACAGGAGGCGGGTTTTTCTGTGTGCGCCTCTGAGTGGGTGTGTCATATGGCTTGTGGGTCAGGAGTATGGACCCCGGAGTCCTGATTCTCCCCAGATAGTTCCCTCTCTCATTTCCCTGCCCTCGTATTCCTCAAGGGGATCAAGCCGTTCGGAGCCCCTGAGTTAAAATTAACCCTGTGCCAATGAGAAGCTTGGGGTGGCGCTTCCTTCTCCCTCCACTTCACGCATCGCTGCGGCATCTCCTCTTCCTCTGGTTCTTCAGCTGGGCTGAGGAGAGGCTTTCGAAATTCATTCCTTGCCCGGAATCTCCCAGTGAGGACTCTCAGAACAACTTAAGAGCGCGGTTGGAAGCTGGGAAGTGATTTCCTTCTGTGAACCAAGAGCTGAGCTTCATTGTCACACCGGGTCCTGCCCCCCATCTTGGCAAGGTCCCCACTGGCAATCCAGTTCAGCTGCCAGTCTCCCCAAGAGATTCCTATCCTCTGGGTCCTCTTGAGCCTCCCTTGCCACCCCAGTGGGTGTCCAGAGATTCACGGCCTGACTTGGGTTTTGATGTCTGCTGAAAAATGGCCGAACTGTGACTCACAGTAACTTTTTCTGCACCTCTTTCGGGTGGGGAGCATGTTAGTCTATTGCAGCAAATGCTGGGCAGCCTAGAGAACAGAAAGATCTTACAAAAATATAATCAGTTTAGACTATGGTTTCCCAGGCCAACAGTCTCCATAGCGTGGGGTCTCCATGTACCCAGTTCAGAAGAGACTATCCTACAGATCTAGATAATCTGGAGTTACTCCAGAAGCTTTTGTCCGGTGGATTCAGTTTTCCACAGCTGAATTGTCCCGGCAGAAATGCTTGTGCAGGTTCTACTCCAGACACTGTTTCACAGGCTGGCATCCTACGTTGGTTTCTTGGCTTAGCATGCCGTCATGGCTTTTGTGAGATGCTAGGTGGGAAGGAGGGACTGCAGAGTTGGGAAAAGAGGCACGCTTCCTGGGGAGCGTAGGATTTTTTTGGAAGGCAACTGAAAAGTCTGGAAATTGAATTTGTTAAGGCCTCAACGGTCCCTTTAAGAAATCTCGGCTGCTGGTATTCCAGTTCGCCGGCTGATTGGCTGGAGAGTGAGTGGGCGGGAGGGGGAGGGAGCAGCCATTCAGAAATCTGTTGCAGTACCTCCCTTATTTAAAGGGGGACCCAGCGAGGGGGGGCGTTGAAGGAACAGCCTGTTCCCCCCTCTCTGCTGCAGGGAATCCAGGCAGCAGGGTGCCCGGGAGGGTTCTAGATCTTGAGATTCAAGGCCTGGAAGAAAGGTCAATGGCAGCAGACAGGAGATCCCTCTGGGCTGTTCCTGGCTCTGGAAGGGGGTGCTAGGAGCCACGCACCCCAGCATAGATGGAGGCTGCCCTAAAATGAAATCTGACTTAATGTGCACTTAAATGCAACTGACTTCAGGCCACATTCACTGGATTAGATTATTTCATCACTTTCCCCTAAGCTTAGAAGGGTTTTCCGAGGACATCTTGTAGCTGCTGATGTTGGCTTCCAAAGGTGATGATTCCCATTGGCGTTGCCTCAGCCTCTGCAGGTGGTGGACTAAAACTCCCATAATGCTCTTTCGGCCTCCCGTGAGGTCCTGGTTTGCCCCTGCTGCTACTGCCCCAGCCCACTGGAGGACTGAGCACTAGACCCTCCAGGCAGTTGGATCACCCCCTCCTTTGGGGCTTTTCTCTGCAGACTGTGTTAGTTCTCTTTAATCAGTCTCCCCTGGCCCTTTCATTGCAACGTACTGTCTGTCAGGGAGGCAGAAGTGACCACACGTAAGGGGTGGGGATGGTGGGGATTGCTTTGAATTGCTCAGAGATGGGCCTCCTGGGTCACTCAAAGTTACACCATGCTCCCTGTCTTGAGATTGCCTCACCCACCGTTCAGTGTCCACATCATGCTAAGCCACAGTTTGTTCAGTTTGGTTTCTTGAATGGAAAGTGACCTACTGTAGATCACAAAATAGCTTACAGACATCAGGGGTTGGGCTTGTATAACTCTCTAAGCAAAACCAAATGAACCACAGCAAAGCTTAATGTGATGTAGGAATCCACCCAACTTGGATTGTGCTGGCTGCCTGGGGACTTTTAGAGCATCCAAAACCCAGTTACAAATCAATTGATCAGGTCCTGGAGGGGTTTTCCCCCTGCCACCCTCCCCGGGAATTCCCAGAATTCCCAAGCCAGAATGGCCATTGCTGAGATTCTGGGTGCTGAAATCCACCCATCAGAAATGGCTCAGTCTGGGGTTGGGGGTTGGGTTGACAGTGGCAATTCTTAAGACGTGGTGTGAGGGTTAAGGAAGAGGTATATGCAGTCTTTGAGTGGCATTCCAGGGGGCACATTCCAGGAGGTCAGCAACCAGGCAAGAACTGTGATTCAAACTGAATTAGTTACATTAATTAACATTTACTATGTACCTGTCATAGTAACCATTATAATTTGGTGGCAGTTGCTTGGCATGAGGATAGTGGCTGCAACAAGGTTTTGGAGAACTGTAGGTCCAGGGAGCCCTAGGCTCAAACCCCTACCCTCCGGGAGAGTCACTGTGGATGTGGCCAGTCACTCACTCTCAGCCTTGCACACTTTCCATGGTTGTTGTGAATGCTACATAGAAGAGAGGAGTCTGTGTGTTCCTCAGCTCCCGTGGGCAAAGCCTTTGGCTGCAAGAGCCCCCTTTGCCCATTGTTCTGGGGCCAGAAGATTCTAGATTCTAGAAGAATCGCTGTGGTCTTGTGGAAGGCTCTACTCGGGGTGGGCCTTGGATACAGATCCTTGCACCCTGTGCAGCTCAGGAATCTGACCAAGGGGAGGAGGACTCTAGTCCCACATCATCACACGCGCCCAAGGAAACCTGAGCACTGCCAGGTCTGCAAGAGGCAGAGGGGTTCCTGGAGTGGCTGAACTGGTGCCTCTGGGGTGGGCTTGAATCCCTGTAAGTCCTGATTAAGAAGCTGCAGCCAGCATGGATGGTAATGGCCTCAGAGACAGACCTTCATTGGTTTGGAGTTGTTTGATGGACCTTTGTAGATATTTCTGTTTCTGAAAGGTGTTTCTGAGTTGGAAGCTACGGGGGCAGAGGATATGGTTGGAAGAACTATCTTCTCCTGGCCAGAGGAGATGTTTTGCAAACAGCCTTCCCCTGATTCCTTCCTTCTCCCTAAGATAAAGAATGCAAATTATTCTTCAGACAG